TGATTGGTGGGCTGTGGCTGTGGGGCAGGCAGGAGGGTAATGGGTGGGTGTGATGCTGCAGGCAGGACAGGTGCCCGGTGGTGTCTCGTGGGCAGTTACGTGTCTGTAATCCACAGTGCCAGGCTGGTGACAACAGGGGGACAGTGCCAGTGACAGCAGCGATGGGCACAGGGATGGAGCTGGCAGCGGCACAGTGTGACTCATCGGAGGGGTGAGGTCCTGCCCTGCCCCGTGCTCGCCCGAGTGCCCCCCAGTACCCCTCACCTGTCCGTGCTCCTCCAGGAGGGTCTACCTGGACCACAACGCCACCACCCCGCTGGCCCCTGAGGTGGCCCAGGCCGTATGGGATGCCATGTGCCAGGCCTGGGGGAACCCCAGCAGCTCTCACCCCACAGGTAGGGTCTGGGATGGGCCATGTTGGCTCCCTGAGCTGGCCCTGTGGTGATTGGGACCCGCGGGAGCTGCTGCCTCTGGTCCTGCAGGCAAGAAGGCAAAGGAGCTCATCGGCTGTGCGCGGGAGAGCTTGGCGAGGATGCTGGGAGGTCGGCCCGAGGACATCATCTTCACCTCGGGGGGCACGGAGGTAGGACCGGGGGTACCCCCTTCCCAGGAATCCCTGCCCCCACCCCCTCTCCAGCAAGCAGCAATGAGGAGGGTGGGGATGAAGGGCACTGTGCTCCCTCTGAGCCTCCATTTCCCCTCTCCTTTCTTCCTTCAGGCGAACAACATGGTGATCCACACTGCCTGCAGGCACTTCCATGAGAACCAGCGTGGGACAGGGGACAACCGGGGCACACCACACATCGTGACATCAAGCGTGGAGCATGACTCCATCCGCCTGCCGCTGGAGCAGCTGGGGAGGGAGGGCCTGGCAGGTGAGTGGCACAGGCACAGATGGAGTTTGCAAGGGGGACTTAYCTCTGCTGGTGTATTTGTGAAGGAGAGCAGGATCCTGCTTGCTCTTTGATGTTCCACTTTCTCYCCCTGGAGAAGGGCACTGTTTTCCCCGGTGGTGCCCACAGTGCCCCAGTCTGGATATGTTGCTTCCCTTCTTTGTGCCTGTGCTCCCACTGCACACACACTCCTGCTCTGCCCAGCGGGGTGTGGGCAGCCACAGGCACTCTCAGCCTTCCCAGCCAACCTCATGGCTTGTCTTCTGGCCTGCAGAAGCCACCTTTGTGCCTGTGTCCCCACTGAGTGGGCAGGCAGAGGTGGATGATGTCCTGGCTGCTGTCCGGCCGAACACCTGCCTTGTYTCCCTCATGTTGGCCAATAACGAGACCGGGATTATCATGGTGAGTGTGGGCAACGAGGGGGACAGGGCAGGGACACTGTCTTGAAGAGGGGGTGACAAGGGTCACCAGAAGGTGCCTGGGATGCAGCCCCTCATCCGTGCTGCCAGCCTGTCGCAGAGCTGAGCCAGCGCATCCGTGCCCTCAACCAACGCAGAACAGCAGAAGGGCTGCCCAGAATCCTGGTGCACACAGATGCAGCACAGATGATTGGCAAGGGCCGTGTGGACGTGCGGGAGCTGGGTGTGGACTACCTGACCATCGTGGGACACAAGGTATCTGTGTCTGTGTGTCTGCTCTTGTGTGTGTGACCCTGCTCTGGTGGCCCAGCCACCGGTCACCCTGTGTGACATCTCTGCTGGGGTGACAGGGGGTCTTTGGGTGCCCCACATCTTGGCACCTCACGGTGGCCCAAGTTCTCCTGCTGGGTGGTGCTCTACAGACAGGCTTCGCTCCTGTGGAACCTGTCTGGGGTGGGGGGCAGGAAACTGAGGATGGGGAGCAGCTCTGCAGCAGCCTGTGCCTGTGAGACGAGCAGGGGCCAGCACTGGAGGGCATTCAGATTTGGACAGGAGGACAGGAAGCGCTGTCAGCGCTGTCAGTGTCCCCTGCCATGGCTGTCCCACAGTTCCATGGCCCGCGGATTGGAGCGCTGTATGCCCATGGCCCTGGCACCACTGCCCCGCTGCATCCCATGCTCTTTGGAGGGGGACAGGAGAGGAATTTCCGGCCAGGGTAAGGGGGCAGGTGGTTACCTGAAKAGCTGGGCCTCTGGCTGGTGGCCAAACCACATGGGCTGCCTTGTCCGAGCTGAGCAGGCAGCTGTGTCACCTGCCAGCCTGGGGCTGAGCAGCCCAGCACAGCAGGGAAATGGATCCATGTAYGGAAACTCCCTGGTGCTTGCGCTTTTGCAAAGTTGGAACCTCAGGGTGCAACTGCCTCCTTCTCAACCACCTCAAGAGAGGTGTCCAGGACCCCCTGCCAGCAGTGAGGGGTCCCATGAGGCAATGGCCTGGTCTGTCAAAATAGCTCACTGGTCCGTGTTCCCTTCCAGCACTGAGAACACCCCGATGATTGCCGGCCTTGGCCAGGTCAGTCAGGATGGTCAGGGTGAGTCATGCAGACCCAGCCACTTGTGCTCCCTGGTCATCAGAGGGAATAAACTCAGGATGCAGGAGGGAGGGTGAGCTGGGAAAGGTGGTGGGGCTTTCCAGTGCCAGTTGCAGGAGGTGCTTCAGGGTGCTTGCTGTGGGTTTGCATCCCTGGCAATCACACAGCTCACATGGCACAGAGCACTGACGGGGGACACAGGAGACCTGGCACTGCAGAGGCTGTTCAGGCTGGGCTCATGTCCCGGGGACCAGGCACAGAGACGTRTCTGAGAGTCCCTGCTGGAGCCCATCTGGGTGTTCTCTCCTCAGGCTGCAGAGTTAGTGAGCACAAACTGGGAGGCCTACGAGGCTCATATGCAGGATGTCCGGGATTACCTGGAGGCCAGGCTGGAGGTGAGCACATCTGGTCCCTTCTCAGGGCCTCAGGCTGCTGGGTGTGAGGCCTGAAGCAGYGTGGATATGTCCCTGTGGCCCTGCCCACCACTTCATGAGGACAGAGCAGCTCGGGAACCTGGAGAGGTTCACAGTGCTCTGATTTCTCTAGGCCTCCTTTGGAAAGCAGAGGATTCACTTCAACAGTCACTTTAAGGGCTCYAAGCGACTCTGCAACACCTGTAACTTCTCCATCCTGGGCCCAGGCCTTCAAGGTAGCTCTTATCCCACTGCTGTCCCGTGATGGTCATGCAGAGCCAAGCACCTGCCCCTCACTGCACCTGTGGCTGAGACTGGCGGGTGCTCGGCATGGCTCAGGGAGGTGAGGCAGGAGTGGCCCCTGGAGAGAGCCTTGGCACTGGGAGAGCTGTGCTTGTGTTGCTTGTGCTGCAGGACGAAGGGTGCTGGCCCACTGCAAGGTGCTCCTCGCCAGTGTCGGGGCTGCGTGCCACTCTGAGAAGGGGGATCGGTGAGCAGACAGCTTCTCCAGCTCCTGGGTGTCTTCCCAGAGGACAGTRGGTGGGAGGGAGGGAAACAGGACTGGGAGAGGGATGGTGGGTGGCTTGGGCAGCATCACTTGGAACAAAGACAGTTACAGAGCTTTCCAGAGGGGCTGAAGGGCTGTGAAGGAGATTATTGCAGGACCCACAGCTGGAATGCTTGACTGCTGCTTGGAAGGACTTTGTCCTTCCCAGCCTTGGTGATCYAGCTGAGCTTGGAAGCACTTTTGAACTCCTGGCACTACCAGAAGAGAGCCTGCCTTGTGTCTGTGTGTGCCTGATGCACCTGCTCCAGCCCAGCTTGGGTCTCCAGAGGGCTCCTGTAGGGCATGTGGGGGCAGCGAGTGCTTTTGGCCTGGTCTAGAGCAGTGCCCTGTGGGCATGGCATAGCTGCCAGCCCATGGGGACACGGAATACATTCTCCCTKGAGGAGACCGATTCCCCATAGGCCAACAAGCCCAGTGGCATTGGGTGCCCTTGGCAAGCAAGCAGGGGCCTGTGGGGGGGACAGATTTACCTGGAGTCCATGTGCAGTGTGCTTCCTGCTGTGGCACAGTGACACAGCCTGCCGATGTGGGGGGCTTCCAGGCCAGCCTCTCACCCCTGGCTGTGCTGCAGGCCCTCCCCAGTGCTGCTGAGCTGCGGGATCCCCCCGGAGGTGGCACAGAACGCGCTCCGGCTGAGCGTGGGGCGCAGCACGGCGCGGGCAGACGTGGACAGGGCTGTGCAGGACCTCATGCAGGCTGTGGAGCAGCTGGAGCGGGACCAGGCCCCAGAGACCCTGGAATCACTCCCTGGACACCACACAGGTTCTCAGGGTGGATCTGTGGGTGTGAGCTGCTGGTGCCAGCCTGGGCTCAGAGTTCTGGGTGGCAGGGGGAGGTTCTGAGAAGGGGCCTTGGCTGCTTTGGGGCTGGGGCAGCTCRAGGGCTTACCCAGGACTCAGCCCCCCTGCACAGTGGAGACTTCTGGGGAGTGCTGCTGTCCAGCACCCCTCGCTTGCCAGACGTACCCAGCTGGGTGCCTGCACGTGCCCGTGTTGGCACAGCTGAGTCTCAGAGCTCGAGATCCTGCAGAGGGACAGACATGGAAGCCATGGCAGGAGGAGCCTCGTGCCCTGATYGCTTCCCACAAAGGAAGCTTTCCCGCTACCTGAGCAGCCAGAGGAAGGAAGGCCATCTGCCCTAGGGGGAAATGAGGAGCTGATAGAAGCACAGCACGATTCTCTGCTGGGAACAGCTCTGCCCTAAGCTGCCAAAGGGATTTTTGGCTGGGCAGAACTTTCCCAGTATCGCATTGCTTTACCTGCTCCCTTTTTCTCATGTCCTTCTTACAGCAGGCAGAGCTTCCATTGCCAACTCCACCTGCTCCTCAAGGAAACAGGTGTCGGGACAGCTGTGACTGTGCCAGAACGTGAGGGAACCCTGCGTGGCCTGCGTGGTCCCTGGCATCACCGACACAGGGGGACACAAGTGTCACATGGATCAGGAGCCTTGCCAGCTAGGCTGGCTGATGTCAGGGAACTTGGTCTCCCTGGGTGTTCATAGGAATAAAAAGCAATTGCTGCTTCTTTTCCCAAGTAAAATGTATTTTGTGTGGGGGARCCTGGACTGTTTGGGGCCATCCAAGTGATGCCTTTTACCTCAGAAAACACACACATCCTAGAACACAGGCAAGCAGAGTGGGAGGTGCCGGCAGGGCCTGGTTGGCACAGAGCCCATGGACACACATGCTGGCCTTTCTCTTTTCTGCCAGGAATACTATTTAGACCCATAAAATCCTGGGGCTCTTTGCAAATCTGATGTCTCACTGGAGAGTRGGGACTCAGGCACACTGACTGGCAGTCACTGACCCTGCCAAGCTGGACAGTGTTCCCACACTGCTCAGACCTTCATCTCAAATGCAATTTCTCCTTGTTTTTTCCCTACCTTGCATAACAGTCAAGACTTCATAGAAGAAATGATTCCATAGAAAGGATTTTGGTCTGCTTCTGGGCTAGATCTTTAATCTGTCACAGACCTTACAGTTCTTGGGGATCTTTCACAGCTGTGGCACAACTGGAGATTCAGCTTTTGGGATATCTTTTCCCCCAGAGGACATCTGGGCTTCCTGCATTGTTTCAGACAGAAATTCAACCACAAAGCACAAAAAGCTTTACTCACTTCTTCTTTGTAAGCACAGGAAATGCAAGATTTAGCCACAGAAATTTAGCATTGCTCTGTTTAGAATATAACAGCCAAAGCTTAAGAAGCGTTACAGAGGTTATGAGAATTCGGGTTGATCGTTTGCATTGTTTTGCTGCTCAGTTTTCTCGTACCACAGTGCATGAATGAGAGTCACTCCTGAGTCCCTCTGTATTGCTTTATCCAGGGAAGGGGAGGAAGAGCTTGGCCCATGTTTCTTTGGGCCAGGCTGTGCTGSCTGTGCACTGTGTGTGCTACTCTTTTGGGTATGACAAAATGTCAGTGGTTGTGTGCAGCAGAACAAATCCACCCAGCACGGGAGCCTGGAAATACCAACATGGGTGTATCAGCTKTGAGGTGAAATCGCAGAGAGAGGCCTGGCCACTACACTCAGATATAGGAACTGAAAGGAATCACATGGTCACAGCCAGAATCAGACATTCAAAACCGACATTCATTTAATGGATGAATCCACAATCTCCTGATAATCTTGCCTTTTTAAATCCTTCCAGGAAAGTTTATAACAGGCAAGGAAAAAAACACTCACCAAAATAAGCACTGCCCCGACCAGATCACAAGTGCCCGGGAAGATGCGCAGCACAAGGAGCTGCAGGACCATGGCAATGACAATCTCCAGGTGCTGCACAGTGCTCACCASAGCGGGGTGGAACTTGCCCAGGGCGTGGTACACCCCCAGGAAGGCTGCAGTGGAGCACAGGCAGATAGCAAGRAGGTAGCTCCAGGTTTCCCCGTCCAGTGGGATGATTGGCTCTTGGAGCAGGAACATGGTGGACACKCCGCACACTGTTCCCATCCAGCTGAAGGTGAACAGTGCTGTCCACATGCTGATGTTGTCTTTGATGGACCTGTAGATTATCATGGAGAGRGCAGTGGTCAGGCCAGCCATGACGGTCATGGTATAACCAAAAGCTTCCTTCCAGGTGTTCAGCAAAGAGTTCTCCTCAACAATGTTGGGGATCATGACCAGACAAACCCCAAACACGCTGCCAATGACAGTGACGATGTCTATGTAAGCCATTCCTTCATCTATGAGYAAAAAAGCCAGAATGGCACTGAACACTGTGGTGGTGGCCCTCCACATGATGGTCCCATTGCTGGGGGGCACTATGGAGAAAGAGGTGTAGGCACAGGTGATGGAGATGACRTTGCAGACCCCGTAGAGGAACAGCCGGAGCCGGTAGCCTTTGGGGCCAAAGGGAGGCTCATGGTGGTAGCACACAGCAGTGATGGACAACACCTGCAGGACCGAGCAGATGAAAATCAGCTCCAGGGATGGCACTTTGGAACGGTCAGAAATYAATCTGGTGATCAGAGCCACGCATCCGTGAGCCACGGCAGAGCCAAAAAGGACCGCCCATGTTTTCCTGGACTGCAGTACATTTCCTTCAGGAAAATGCTGGGACTGTCCGACTTCATCAGGTTTTGGCAGTTGTGCTGGCTTGGTGTCTATTGTACCAAAATAAGTCCTTTGTCTCTTTTTCCCATCATTCAGTAGTCTTCTCTTAGGATTATCTTCCACAAATACTCCAGTATCTTCATTAASATCCTCATATCCCTCTTCTCCTGGCTGGGGATAATGAGATGTGTACTTCACTGTTACTGTGTTGGGATGAATTTTCACTTGCTTTTTTACTGGGTATTTTTGGGAAGATGTATCCATTTCCTTAAAGAAATGTCCTGGTCTTAAGAANGATGTATCCATTTCCTTAAAGAAATGTCCTGGTCAAAAAAAAAAAAAAAAAAAAAAAAAAAAAAAAAAAAAAAAAAAAAGATACACTTAAAGATACACTTATATAATGGTGGCAGATTCATTAGGATGTAAATGCAGTTAGTGCTTACAAGCTATTGGTATTAACCAAGTCCAAGCACTAACTAGTAGACTGTTCTTGATTTTGCTCTAATTTTCCACTGAATTACTGCTAAATACCTTTGATGGCTGGGCCATTTGCATCCTCTTAAAAGCCAACCATACCTCTTCACTTTAGCAATTAAGTTTTGAAAACAATATATTTTGTCACTATGTATGGTATGCATAATGAATTCTAATATATTCTTATTCTAATAAGAAAGTTCTCTTGCTAAGCGTTTTACCCTGTAATTATGCATTCTTATTAATGGCTTGCCARTGTTACAAGATTACAGGAGAAATTTGGCTGGAGGAGATGACAGAGAACATCACAGGGAAATAGGGAGCACCTCCAGGGAAGTCGGCAGAGTTTGCATATGGATAACAACACATCTKTGAACACCACTCTTCTGTCTCCTCGTGAAGGTCCATTCCCCACTACACAAACTGTGCCTGCGATTTCTGCGGGGGKGTCACTTTAATTCAGGCAGGGGACTTCACTGAAAATGACTGTTTTCACACCATCTGGGCAGAGCCCTTCAAAGTGAGGGGGTAGCAGGAGTAATGAAACATTCCCTGCCTTCTCTTCAGCCCAGCAAATAAATCTGTGCAGACTTCACCTGTGACTGAGAAATTCGATCCCAAGGCAGAGGGGGAAAACACCTCTTCATCATCTACATCTTCGATGTGGTGTCTAGACAGAAACAGCAGCTGCTTTTTGGTACCAGCAGAGAAGGTTACAGCCATCTCGACACGGAAAGTAAAACCCAAAGGAGGCTCAAAGCCCGAATCACTTTCGTTGGAGAGAATGCAATTAGTGGCATCTTGTCAAAACCACTCCCCAGACATCTCCCAGAATTATTGAGGGATCCGATCCAAAGAACAAGGGGTGGTTTGTGAGCGTAAGGTCCCTACAGCTCGTCAACAAGGGAATCCATCCACCCTCGGTGCCTGCTGTGCTGCCCCAAGGGCTGCAGAGGACAGGGATCCCGGGAGGGGCCATCCTCCCCATTCCCGGGAGATCCYTGCCCCGGGAGCCGAGCCCCGGCTGCAGCAGCAGCGTGGCCTCTGCGGTGGCACCGAGGGATGGCTACGGACACTCCTTGYACCCAGAGAGGAGCGGAGCGTTCCTGAGGGCCCTGGCGGTGCAAGACAACAGCTGCTGGACAATGGGCTGGACAGCAGCACAGCGGATTGTCAGGAGCACACAGGTCCAAAGGSAATGGTGAAGTGTGGGCAGTGGCTCCTCACACAAACACCAAAAACACCGCGGCCAGGCTCAGCCTTGGCATCCTCTGTGTCTGTGATGTGTGGCAGCCAAACACTGCCTGTGTCGCTGGCAAATATAATTTACATGACAATGGGCCAGTCTGCCTTTTTCCTCACAGGCTGAGCGTTCATGAACCCACTGCTACACCCCAGCTGGGATGTAGCCTGCTCCCTCGTGCTGATGGACGGGCGTGCGGACACGGGTGGGCACAGTCCCAGCTCCGGAGGAAGCAGCAGCAGCAAAYTGGAGCTGCACCATTACCGGGCTCAGGACCCTCTCGAGTCCCCCCGTCTCTCAGGAAGCCTCGCTCGGCGCTGCTCACGTTCTCCTGCTGCCGACCCAGCACCCCCTGCATGGTGGAGAGCATTCCAGGGTGTCCATGGGCCACTTCCCGGGCGAGGAACTTGAGAACGAGCAGCGGAACAGCAGGGAGAGTTAACAGAGCTGGCTATCAGCTGTGCTAGCGGGCACTTCAAACARCCCATCAAACATTTACCAACACCCGCCACAAATCTGCCCCAGGCTCGCTTGCTACCYTCCCTTTTTCTTCAGTTAAATTGCTCATTTCAGAATCTTTCAACATACAAATGCAAACTGCAGCGAGGGAGCCCAGGAAGGGGGTGATTTTCACCTGCACAGCTTTTCCTACCTAGCATTTTCATTGTCTTACAATCCAGAGTTTTGCCTTCCAGCCTTAAAAACATTAAGACCTTCTTGCATTAAGGCACAACATATTGGATCATGAATTAAATAAGTGGGAGGAAAAGAAAAGATAGACAACAGGAATTATTATTAGAGTGACAGGAGACCACTGGGTAAACTCAGTCATTTCGTTAAGAAACAGCTGAGTAAATGCTGCAATTGTTCCTGAAAACAAAACCAAAATAGCTCATTTGCTACCATGTGCATAGAACGATAACTTTCGTGCTTCTTGCCTTAAAAGTGCATTTCTTTCAACAAGCAGTTGCAAATTGAACAAAACAGTTGCAAATGTAGCACTTGGACCTGTGCAATGAATTCACGGATCTCTCTGGAAGAGAACAATAGATGGTGAGCAGCTCAAAATGGCTGTTCTGCACAGAGCTGCTCCCTCAGGACTGCTCAGCTGGGAACCAGAACAGTTGGGAGTTTGGAAAGTGGAATGGCAAACATTTGTGAAAGGCAGGAGATGGGAAGGAACAAAGAACAAAATAAATAAATAAAAAGAGTGCTTAACCCAAAATGTCATGTTCCCAACTAAATATTGAGTGTGTGACARATGTGATCCCAACTCTCCCACAGTACATTTACTTGTAGTATTTGGTGACCTTGCTTTTCTTAACCTGTGAGATTTTCCATGGAGACTGAGATTAGGGCATATCCCAGATCCATATGTGTGTCCCTGACACAAATTTAAAATAGACAGAAATCAGCACAGCCTATACAAATATTTTGCTACTTCTCTTTCTGCCCGTGTCTTTCGTGGAGACGACATGAAGGTTTTTTATTTTTGAATCATATCTGGAAATTTAACATGGCTTATWTGCATTTTCTGTTAAAAACACAACTTGAATTTGAATCAAGTCTAATACAAGGCTCAAGATGAAGCACTATGCAAAATTCTCATTTTATATARCAAAACAAACATTGCCAATTCACCCTGGGACACCCATTTACATTACCAGCTCATTTAAGACTGCAAAGTGTGCACCCTGTTTTCCCTTGGGGGAGCAAATAATCRCTGTAGATTCAATAAATGGCAGAGATCATTAATAAAATACAAACCATGATTTCTTTTAAAAGAAAAAAAAATCCCAAACACTGCCCTCCCTTCCTCTCTCAAACACTACAAGWGTTGTTAGCCAGATAGAAATAAATGATTGCCTGGCCCCTGACTGCTGGCAGTGGGAGCCTGAGCGCTTGGTGTGCCTGGAGGAATGAAGGCTTTGAGGTCTCTTTATCCTAACCACTCATTCTCAATAAACTCACAGAAAAACGCACTCATCCTCTACCAGATGGTTAAAATCAGGCTACTGAGTTGTTACTGTGGAAGACTCACAGCCATGGATATGGCATCGGGAATAGGTCAGCTTTCCCTGTGCTCTGGCCCACGGGAGGGAATGCTCCTTTGCCTCTTCGGGAAAGGATTTGGGAAAATCCCCCAATCCTGATCAGATCAGGCTGGGATTACCAGAGGGCTGTGAGCAGTCTCCACAGGGTAACTACAGAATGACAATTTTCCCTCAATATCAGATGTAGGAAAGACCCACCCATCCCTGGAAACCCGTGGAACTGAACTTGTTCCATCTTCACTAAGCACTTGTGTGCACTGACCTCACATCACAAGTGTTTTTCTTCTGATTCCTTATCAGGTACAGGAATATCTCTTAAATTCCCGTTTCACCATCATTAAACCACCTGGAGATGCGTACRTACTTCATATTTCAGGCAACTGCACATGCCTAGAGATCTACACTCATGTGAGGTACACTTCATCTTTTTAGCCAGATTGATATAAATCAAATTTATTAAAAATACATGCAAAGAAACTCAAGTCTTTATTAAAATTTAATTAATAGCAAAAAGTATTTAAGAAAATGAAAGAGCAATTACATGAAAGGAATTTTTAGCACTTAAGCACAAGAGCAGACATTATATACAAACCAAAAAAACAGTGTATTCAAATTGAGTTATGTCCAGCAACACTGCCTAAAGAAAGAGGCAGTACAACCTTGACTGAATACAAATACAAACCCTACACTAAAGTCCCTCGCGTTGTCAGTACATTCCTGATAATACTCTGCTACCYCAAAAATGACCTCAGTGTGTGCTACCTCATTGAAGCCACATYTGATGGGATTATGATACCTTTAATTCCCCTTGCTTTCTCTGTTCTTTTGCCGAATAAGGGTTCCATTTGTGGCCGTTTACCATGAAAAAATACTATTTTCTAATTTCTCCATTCATACTTGTTGCCATGCTGCAGCTCCTACCACTGCAGGGGCAGCACTTGCATGAAGTGATTTTGGGAGAAGCGCCACTTTTCCTGCAAACTTCCCATTTCAAAACCCCTTAACTGAACAAACACCTTCAGATCGTAATTCCAGGCATGGGAAGAACAGAGAATACAACAATGAAATACAGTCCCCCATAGCACAGGAAAACATAGCTCGGCTAGATGTAATAAAGCTTTAAGAGATACATTACAATRGGGTGAAGCACCAGACTGCCCTTCTGGTCCACGACAGGAGATGACAGGTCGAGATTAGAGGTACCTCACTCACTGCTTTGGATCCTCTCCCAATAACCTGCAAGCCCCTGGCAGCCAGCGGAGCGTGCGGGATGTGCAGAAGGGGACAGCCGCCTGCAAAGAGACCGAGCTCGGGAGCGCTGCGAGGAGGGTGGCACCGGTCGCGATGGCAACTATCGCCGACAAGAGGGCACCCCTCAGAGGACGCGGGGCGTCTCCACGGGAACTGCCGGCAGCGGCTCCAGCGAAGCCGCTCCGAATCAAGAGCGGGCGAGGGGCGGCGACGGCCCAAGCTCGGTCCCCGCCGGGACTCGCCCGCGCCCCCGCACCGGCCCCTGACATTACCGATGACGCAACCCCGCCCGGCGCCACCGCCTCTGGCCGCACCCTCCGCGCCCGCCCCCGCCATGGCGGGGAGCGCCCGCCCCGCTCGGYCCCGGACATCACTGTCACTGCCGCTGCCGTCGCCCCGGCCCTCGCCCCTGCTCTGTGGCGACAGTCACAACCCCCTTCCCTCGCCGGTGTCCCTGTCCCCGCCGCCTCACGAGACCCGGGCCCCCGCCCCCGCTCTGTCGCGACAGTCGCCCTCCCGGGCGGTGTCCATGGGYGCGCGGCGCACGCGCGGCCGTTTCCGCGCGAAAGACGTTTTCCCGCGTGCCGCGCGCGCCGGGGCGGGATCGCCGCTCGTTCCCGCCCCTTCC